CCAGATTATTAAAGCATAACCCATTCAGCTTCAGGGGAGGGAGCACGGGAAAGGAGCTCAATAAATGATTTCTGAATTAAATCGAATGAAATCTATTCATTTCTTTAGTGCTAGCCAGGGGGAAGGTAAAGGTTGTGAAAGGAATGAACGCAGCCCGTGGGAAAGCTGGCCTGGCCCTCACAGAGCCCCGTGGTATGCTCCTGTTGAACAGAGTCTCCCAGAATACCAACATCAAGACTGAAAAAGTGAGATCAAATAAGTCTGCTTGATAATGCTGTCCAAGCACAGACAAAAACAAGGCCGTTGTGCCACACACACGGTACCAAACATCCTTCTATCTTGGTGAATGAGTGGCATCTGCTGGACGGCTTCCACTTCTTCCTTGCCCTAGCCCTCTCTTTATAGATGAGATTTACTGAGAGAGCCAAAGGTCTGATTGCCTCTGTTTTCTGACAGCATCCAATCTAGAGAGAGCACTGCATCCTTAGACCCTCCCCCAAATCATCCTCTTACTGAGACACCTCATGCAGTGACAAGTCATTAACCCAACCTGTTTGCTTCGGTGGGAGGGCACTGACTTGGTCCCATGCCCAACTTACTTCAGTTTATAGAGGGAGGCAAATCATCAGGCAGCCACTGAAGAATTTATGAAATATGAAAAAAAAAGCCAAAATGTTTTTGAACTTGTTACAGAACAAAAGCTTTATTTTTTTTTAAGATTTTATTTATTTATTTGAGAGGGAGAATGAGATAGAGAGCATGAGGTGGGGAGGGTCCGAGGGAGAAGCAGACTCACTGCTGAGCAGGGAGCCCAATGCGGGACTCGATCCTGGGACTCCAGGATCATGACCTGAGCCGAAGGCAGTCGCCTAACCAACTGAGCCACCCAGGCGCCCCCACAGCAAAAGCTTTATTAAAGGGAACTAAGTCACAAAGGAATAAGAACTAATGTTGCAGGATTTCTTTTCCCTTAGCGCCAGAAGTTCTTGGTCCTGCCGCTTTGAGGAATGAAGAGGTAGACCAGATGAAGAGTGGTGGGCAGCAATGCAAAGTTTATTGAGGGATAATACAGAGCTCCCGAGGATGGAGGGGATCCAAGGAGGTTGCCGGTTTGGTGTTTAAATCTAGGGGGTTTTATGGGCTCTTTGGTGTGGGCTGTTTTAATCTGATTCACCCTCCACGAGACTATCACCCAACCAGGTTTTTGTCCACAGCTCATCTACCTATCAGGTCGTTCGTTGTTCAATGGGAAAGGGCCTAGGGCTCCTTCCAGGGTGGTGTTTTGTAGCCTTGGGGACCAAGAGGGCAGCTGCTGCCACTGCCCGAAGACAAGCCAGCTGCAGGTCACCACATCAAACTCTTTGTTTAAATATCCCACTGGCTGGGGCGCCTGGGTGGCTCAGTCATTGGGCGTCTGCCTTCGGCTCAGGTCATGATCCTGGGGTCCTGGTAACAAGCCCCGCATCGGGCTCCCTGCTCAGTGGGAAGCCTGCTTCTCCCTCTCCCACTCCCCCTGCTTGTGTTCCCTCTCTCGCTGTGTCTCTCTCTGTCAAATAAATAAATAAAAATCTTTAAAAAAATAAAAAAAAAAATAACTAAATATCCCACTGGCTGTTGAGCTGGCCCCGGGGCCTGGGTTAGGACACCCAAAGCCATCCCCTTCCTTTCTGTCTGGTACAAAAGCTGGGCCACTGAGTAAAGCCTAGAATAACAGGATGGGGTCTTTTTCCTTTTAAGGTTAGTTTCCTTTTAGGAGGGAGGGGGGATGCCCTTGTCCCCACCTGCCTCTCTTCCAACTCTCCTTCATTACTAATGTTCCATCTCTGCTAGTAAACTGGCTTAGTGACAGTAATAAAGGAGAGTCAGAAGAAAGGCAGGGGGGACAAGGCTGCTGGCCCTTAGAGGAAACCACCCTTAAAAGGATTTTACACCACCCTGGAAGGAGGCCTCCACCCTTTCCCACGTGATAGGTAGATGACAAAAACCTGATTGGGTGACCAGGGCATGGAGGGTTAATCAGATGAAAACAGCCCGCCAACAAGCCCATAAAAACCCCTAGACTTAGAAATGTCGGTGGCAGTCCTCCAGGGGTCCCCTCCCTCTGTGGGAGCTTTGTACTGTCACTCAATAAACTTTGCTGCCCACCACTCTTCGTCTGGTTTACCTCTTCATTCTTCCAAGTGGGGTCACCAAGAATTGCAGGCACTGAAGGAAAAGAAATCCTGTAACAGTAAACCAAGGACCTCTCTGAATGGAGGGCTGTGATGAGGGGACTCCTGGAGCTGTGCACATTTTCATTAACTGTTTTTAAGAGGGTGTACAGAATGAATCAATACCACAAAACAAAAACAAAAACAAAAACAAAACCCTTTCCAGATCCTATTTCAATATTCTCATCTTCCGGAATGCCAAGGGCCAGCTCCATGTTCATTATGTTCCCCCAGACCACCCTGAAATCCATCGAGGGGTACCCTTGCACAGACTCACAAAAAAAGAGCATTACCATTTTGCAATCCCCAGTGAAATAATAGGTCTGTAAAATAATCATCAGCTGTTAAAACTGTGCCGTGAAATGTTATTTAATTTCTTAGCCTGTATCAGGTATGAAAATCAGAAAATCCATGCATGGTGGTGAAAACTTGCTGTTTGCCAATATCCATCCATACTTCTTCTTACATAGCTTGGCTGGTACCCAATGCCTACAAGAGAGACTACTTTCCTGCCCTCCCTGGCAGTTAGTTGTGGTCCATGTGACTAAGTTCTAGTCAGTGACAGGAAAGCAAAAACACATGTGATAGGGTGGGGGGATGGGTTAGCCTGGTGGTGGGTATTAAAAAGGGCACATTCAGCGTGGAGCACTGGGTGTTATGCACAAACAATGAATCATGGAACACTACATCAAAAACTAATGATGTAATGTATGGTGATTAACGTAACAATAAAAAAATTAAAAAAAACCACACATGTGATAGCAGCTAGAACCTTCCTGGCAACCCCTGCCCTCTTCAGCTTCATTGCTTCTTCAATCCTGCTGCCCAGATTAGAACGTCATTTTGGGTCATGAGTCCAAGCTGTGCTCAGTGGCACAAGAGAAAAGACAGCTGTGTCTTGGACACAAAAGTGCACCATTGGACCGCCTTCCCTGTCTTTCCATGATGGATTAGGAAAACAGGAAGCCCGGGGCTGGCTGAGCCTGAAGAAGGAAGGAGAGAGCGGGGAGAGGAGAAGAGAGAGAAGTGGGAGGAAGAAGAGAGAAAAAAGAGGAAGGGGAAGAAAGGGGACAAGGGTAGGCAGGAGAGGGAGAGGGGCAGGAAGGCAGCAGGAGGAGGAGTCCCCTGAGAGCGGGTTAAGTTGCAAACTATTCGTTTTGATACATTCTAGTCCAAGTTACAGAAGACCCATTGAAAATGGTGGCAATCAGGCAATGTGTCCATCACCTCAGGAATGGGGTCAGTAGCTGGGACAGGTGCAGCAGAGAAGGGGCGCCGGCTCTGGCTCCACACAAGGGCTACTAACAGCTTCAGGCATTGAGTTCAGACAGAACTCTGCTCAGAGGAAGAAGAGGGACCTTCTCCTCTATCTCTTTCTTCAAAGTGAAGAAACCTTTTCCCAGAAGCTTCCCCCGCAGACTTGCCCTCCAATGTCACTGGCCAGATTATATACCCATTACTAAAGCAATCACAGGCAGAGGATAGGATTGTCAATAAACCTTTCATATTAAGTCGGTCTACCTTCTGAGATGAAGACGGGATCACCTTCCCTGAGTCACATAAGGGAGGGATAAAAACAAAGCACTGCTTATGGTCGTGCTAGTTGTGCAGTGCACGAGGAGGGGGAGGGGTGTGGGCCAGGCACCTTCACGTTCAGTCACTGTCATTTGTAAGGTTAGTAGGATAAATTTTCAGCAGATGGCAGTAAAGTGCTTGGGGGAAAGGATGCCTTTTCTCATTCACACACAGTCACGGTGAGCTGACAAGGTTGGTGACTAACAAAAATCAAGATTATGTTAGAAGGAAGGTGGGGGTGAAGGTGGGAAATGAGTGCTTGGTAGGTTAACAAAATGTCTGCAACATAAAGCAAATAATCAAATTCACCTAAACTTTTTTTTTTTTTTTAAGTAGGCTCTACACCCAGCATGGAGCCCAACAGCAGGGCTTAAACAGGAGATCAAGACCTGAGCTGAGATCAAGAGTTAGGATGCTTAAGCAACTGAGCCACCCAGGCACCCCTCACTGTAAACCTTTTCAAATTATATGTGGTAAATTCTATTTTAATGAAATAATCCATTCCGGGTTTAAGAAAAAATTATAAAACCTTTATTCAACTTCAATATAGTTACACTGAAAAAAAAAAAAGGAATATTAGATAGATTTCCTAAACTGAAAATCACTATGTGCAAAACCCACTGTCAATACCAATAAAAAGCTTAAAATAAGCTGTCAAGATTGATTTATACAAAAGCCGCAGCTTTCAGACAGCAAAGACCCTACCCCCCCATATCAAAGGATTAAGGCATATAAGAAATTAGTACACCCTGAGAAAAGATACCAATTGAACGGATGAAATATTATCACTGATGACTAATCACATTATAAGGCATGATTAATTTTAAGAGATGTGAGATTTAAAGAGAGCATCACAGTTCCTTCATTATTCCTGTCATGTGCCCACAGAAAACGAAAATACGATCAAAACTAAACAAGGAGACAAAGGACAAAGTTGGGAATGCAGAGTGATAGGTCAGGAAAAATTTTTTAAGTGAGACTGGGTAATCATTTTTCTTGTTGCTCTAACGTCTACTACCTTTTTCCCCTCCCTTTTTTAAGATTTTATTTATTTGACTGCGAGAGAGGGAACACAAGCAGGGGGAGTGGGAGAGGGAAAAGCAGACTCCTCACTGAGCAGAGAGCCCCATACGGGGCTCGATACCAGGACTCTGGGATCATGATCTGAGCCGAAGGCAGATGCTTAACCAACTGAGCCACCCAGGCACTCCTACCTTCTCTTAATATCAAGGCGAAACTGTGCAAATGATTATGTGATACAAAAATGCAAGTTTACTTTGGTTCAATAATATATGCAGCGCGTATGATGAAAGGGAATTCCCTTCATATCTTCCCTGTGGTCACGGGCGTAGTCCCACAAGTAATAATCCAGAAGAACAGAATTGATCTCTCCGCTAGTTTTTTCACCCTTTTTTTCAATAAGCTCCAGAAGGCAATCCCGGATCAGTTCAACACACCAAAGTGAGCACCCTCTGATTTCCACCTCTTGCCTATCACCATACGAGAGCATTTCTCCTGCAAGGGGGAAAAAAACAGAGCAAGAAGTACTAAGCATCAGTGACATAAAATCTACACAGACTTGATTTTGGGTCATTTAAACCACTTCTAAACTCAGGCATTAATTCAAAATTGCACATTCCACAAGGGCAGGGGCCGTGTCTGGCTTGCGTCAATATTCCTGGGAGGTGGCAGAGCACCTTGCACATATAGCTCCCCAATAAACAGCTGCTAAATGAACATGGAGTCACCAGAAATTTAAAAATATGACAGCAAGATTATTAAATTCTTGAAAACAAAGGTTTTAAAATTGGATTTGGGGGCGCCTGGGTGGTTCAGTCGGTTAAGCGGCTGCCTTCGGCTCAGGTCATAATCCCAGGGTCCTGGGATCGAGCCCCGCATCGGGCTCCCTGCTCGGCGGGGAGCCTGTTTCTCCCTCTCCCTCTGCCTGCCTCTCTGCCTACTTGTTCTCTCTCTGTATCTCTCTGCCAAATAAATAAATAAAATCTTTAAAAATAAATAAATAAAATAAAATTGGATTTGATGTCAGGAAAAAAAAAAAACATTGCAAAATTTGGAGGCCCCCAAGGGGGCCAAATAAACAATACCTCCCTTTCTCACTTGAAAACTGAACATTGTCTTAGGTACATCCTAAGTGCATCAAGGAGAACCTAGGAAATCAAAGTTGTTCACCTGAGCAAGGAAGACCACCACTGTTCTTTGGATTCAAGATCCTTTGATCAAGTCCTCCCTGAATATGTAGCTGAGAGCTTCACAGGCCCCACAGTCTCTTCAGTGCCCATCTCCGGGGTGTAGCTAATCCTGCAAGGTGGGTACTGGCTCTACGTTGCCACTGAGGCTAAAAGTGGGCTCATCAACTCAACTGCTTCTAAGGATCAGGGAGACAGAGTAAGGGAATGCCACAGCCAGATGCAAGCTGTCATAAGCTACAGAATGTGTGCTGCCCTGGTCTAATGGTAGACCCAGTGTTCCCATATTTCTCCCCCTTTTATAAGTGAAGTCAGAAAGTTTGATTTTTGGGGTACCTGGCTGGCTCAGTTGGTAGAGCACGGGACTCTTGATTTCAGGGTTGTAGGTTCAAGCCCCATGTTGGGCGTGGAGTCTACTTAAAAAAAAAAAAGGCTGATTTTCATGTGAAATCTCCTAATTGTCAAGGTTAGTAAGTAACTAAAAGTGCTTAAAACACTGGTCAGGCCAAACAAAACACACCTGCAGGTTATACTTGGCCTCTGGCCACCAATCCACACCCTTCCACAGAGCTTCATAGTACCTAAGAGGCCCTGTGATCCACTGAAAAGTAGGACAATGCCCCAGCCCCACTAGGGTCCACTGTCACACCTGGGATTTTAAACAGCATTACTTACGTCCCCTCCATCCAATAAGTAACTGTAGTATTGAACTGTGTCCTCCAAAAAGTCACATTCAAGTCCTAACTCCTGGTACAGGTGAATGTGGCCTTACGTGTAAACAGCATCTTTGCAGATGTAATCAAGATAAGGTCATACCGGATTAGGGTAGGCCTTAAATACCATGACTGGTGTCAGCCCTAGAATCACAGTAAAGAATCTAAATTTAGCCAAACTGGATTGGCAGTATTTATAATTGGCTAAAAAAATATGCCTTTGGTGAAGAGATGGGTTAAAGATAAATTGGACAGAAAAAAAAAAATCTAAATTCATATTAAAATAAAATGAAAAGACTGTATTTACCCCCTGCCCCCCAAAAAAGATAAAATGGACGGAAATCTGGGTAGGTCTTCCAAGGGCTAGCCTGGAGATATTCAGAAGAGGAGGAAGGAAAAAAATACACATATAGAAGTGTAACCCATCCTCAAATTTGGAAGAAGTATCACTGAAGGCCAGTTAAGGAAGGTTCTACCTTATCTAGTCAAGTTACCTGGTTCTAGATTTCACTTCAGATAGTTTTTAAAAACTAGTGTGCTATTCTTGTGTGTACTCCTTTACGTTTATAGTTTCTGTTTCTCCTCTAGTTTGCTAATGAAGTACTTTTTGAAAAAAATCCAACTTTGCTTAAATAAACTAAGAGGCAAAGAAATGAGATCACAGCCCTGGACATAACAGAGGCAGTAACAACAGCTGCAGCTGGACACCTGGAAAAGGGCCTCTGCAGTTGCAATGGATGGCAGAAGAAAATTCAGACCACTTTGTATGGCTGTGCCACATGATCCATTCTCAGCAGGGTTTTCCCCACAGTAGCAGAGACAACTGGGTGCTACAAACATTCAGAAGGAGGAGGTGCACAAATCATGAAAAGCTGGAAAAAGCTATGTGGAGGAGATAGCATTTGAGCTAAGCCCTCGTGGATGTGTAGGACTTGAACTGGAAAAAAAAGAAAATGTGGGTGAGGGAAACCAGGCAAGAGAATGGTTACAGATAGGAACCAGCAGTGGACAGACCGGCCAAAAAAAGATCAGCTGCGTATGGTTACATGGAAAAGAAGCCCCGAATGCTTAAACATTTGGTATCCAATAATTAATGATGCAGGACATGATCATTACAACATAAGATAGATTTTCAAATGAAGAAACAAGAGGGATAAAATGGATTGCCCAAGGTAGCATAAAAACTGGTAGAAGCAAACACAGCAATAATTTATATTCTTTATATTCTGTATTATTCTTATTTTGGGTGATTGAAATCTATTTCACAAGAGAAAATTATTCAGTCATAAAAACTACCTGCTTTGGGGTGCCTGGGTGGCTCAGTCAGTTAAGCGTTTGCCTTTGGCTCAGGTCATGATCCCGGGATCCTGGGATCAAGCCCCACACTGAGCCCCACATTGGGCTCCCAGCTCAGCAGGGAGTCTGCTTCTCCCTCTTCCTCTGCCCCTTCCCTTGCTTGTGCACGCACTGTCTCTCAAATAAATAAATAAAATCTTAAAAAAACAAGCAAACAACTACTTTCTTCTAAAATTAAAAAAATAGCTGAAAATACTGCATCCAAAAGAGAGAAATTAATGTGAAAATTATATAATTATTTTTCTTATACAAAGACATGTTTAAAAAACAAAAAGCTAATCATTAAATTCTACTCCTGAAACTAATATTACACTCTATGTTAACTAATTAGAATTTAAATAAAAACTTAAAAAAAAAGCTGATTTTCACACAAACATAATTTTCTATGCTCATTTATTATAACAAGGCTCCCGCTCTTGAGAATCAATAATTGAATCCAATAATGATAAATAAATGAGCCTAGAAAAGCAAATGACTCATACAAGGTAACCCAGTGGCAGACGCTGGAGCCTCCTGACTTGAAACCCACCGCATGTTACCTCTCAGGCCACCTTTTATTTCATAGTGCAGTGTGCTCTTCACTGCTTAATTAACACTCTTCAAATACTACACCTGATGGACCTAGCATCTATCACACACCTTCAGGTAACAGAAACTTCAGTTTCATTTTATTATGAGGCTCTGCAACTATGACTAAATAGTGTAATTCCCTACATTCTACAGTGTAAACAACAACAAAAAGCAATTTTCGAGGCGCCTGGGTGGCTCAGTTGTTAAGTGTCTGCCTTCAGCTCAGGTCACAATCCCAGGGTCCTGGGATCCAGCCCCGCATCAGGCTCCCTGCTCAGCGGGGAGTCTGCTTCTCCCTCTCCCACTCCCCCTGCTTGTGTTCCCACTCTCTCTAATAAATAAATAAAATCTTAAAAAAAAAAAAAAAGTGATTTTCTCTTACTTCAATTGCCCCTGCATTTTTCTTTACATGTGCTTTTTTTTTTTTTAAGATTTTATTTATTTATTTGACAGTGAGAGAGCACAGCAGGAAGAGCGAAAGGCAGACAGAGAGGGAGAAGCAGGCTCCCCGCTGAGCAGAGAGCCTGATGCGGGGCTCGATCCCAGGACCCTGGGACAATGACCTGAGCCGAAGGCAGATGCTCAACTGACTGAGCCACCCAGGTGCCCCTTTACATGTGCTTTTAACAATAAACAGTGCTTTTTTTTTTTTTAAAGGAAAGGAGAACTTCTGTGAAAGAAATGAGACAGAGACTCAATCACAATTCATAGTATAACAAAGAATGTCTTAAGTTGGCAAACCTTTGAGAAGCTTTTCCAGTAGTTCCTTGGAGTAGTTCAGTGCTCCCAGGTGAACAAGAACCTGAGGTAATCTATAGTCGGCAAACATGGTGATACTGGAGATGTCTTTAAAGCAGCCATCTCCTTTCCCCTCTAACACACTCCACGTATCTGCCACGAGGATTTGGGCCCGTTTGTAAAAAGAAATTCTTTTCCCCTGATGAATGAAGAGAATATAAATGTTACCTGGGTATCCAATAGCTTTTATGTATGCTATAAAAAAAAAGGGCACACATTGAAAACATTTCTCAAGGGTGCAATAATTTTAGTACTGGTTAAGAATTTATGGACCTTTTATAGAAAAAAGGGAATCTAATAAATATTAAATTATCTCTTTCACTCCAAATTTACTTCCTATATTTTTCAAGGCACATAAAATACAACTGTGGTAATTGTGGTATTTAGTGTTCTATTTCAATGACATTACCTCACATATATATTTCTGTGTCACTATAACCCACCTGCTTCTTCTTTTTAATGGCTAGACAGTATTTCTTTGGAAAGCTTCTTAAATTTTTCTAATTGCAACATAATTCATGTTAATTGTATAAAATACAGAAGAGTATAAAGAAGAAAACAAACATCCCTTTTTTTAAAAAAAAAAGATTTTATTTATTTATTTGAGAGAGAGAGACACAGCGAGAGAGGGAACACAAGCAGGGGGAGCGGGAGAGGGAGAAGCAGGCTTCCCACGGAGCAGGGAGCCCAACGTGGGGCTCGATTCCAGAATCGTGGGATCATGACCTGAACCGAAGGCAGACGCTTAATGACTGAGCCACCCAGGCACCCCGAAACAAACATCCTTAAACTCATCTCTGAAGAGAATCACAACATTCAATTTTTAACTGTTGTCTTTCAGATAATATGATAAACGTATTTCAGAGATAAAGACATAACTGTCTTTATCAACAGCCAGAATTTATCAAGTCTACCTTTTTGGAAATGGTCAAAATCAGTATGTAAGCCCACAGAACAAAATAAACTTCCAATTATATTTATACAACAAAGAAACAAATTTAACCAAGCATTACAGGAGAGTGGGTTATAATTTAACTCGAAAATTATAAAATTACAAACGCAGATCAGCATAAACTATGGAAAGACATGGATAATTACAATCTAATCCTAATCCTAATACCAAAGGTAATAATCTCAAATCATCTTTTATAGCTGCTTGTCTGCTAAAGGAGAATAATCAGTATTACTGAGTCCCAAAATTTATCCTGTCCACCTTGGAGAATGTTTTAATAAGTAAATAACATAAGTAATTAAATAAAAAAAGAAATTAAATCCTTCAAGGAAAGGCTCCATGTGAAAATTCCTTAAGATACCAAAGATTCCTTTATTTACTAAAAACAAACTCCAATGATACTCTGTCCTAATGAGAAATAACCTAATTTTGCCTAACCTTAAGGTGTACCTATTGCAATCAATCCAGAACTACTTTTACTAAGTAAATTGCCTAAAACCACCTCTAAGAAATTCAGTATCGTGTTTTCCAGAGCAAACACATATGCTCATTTTTTTTACAGTATGTATAGTCTATAAATTAGAGTGCTGGGGGGAACGAATCACCATGAAGTATCCCTAGGGGTGCCTGGGTGGCTCAGTCAGTTAAGCTTCTGACTTTGGCTCAGGTCATGATCTCAGGCTCTGTATTCAGCTTCAGGGGAGAGTCTGCTAGTCCCTCTACCCCTCCCCGCACTCGTGCTTGTGCACACATGCGTTCTTTTTCTCGCTCAAATAAATAAAACCTTAAAAAAAAAAAGTATCTCTACATCATTTGGGAAGAGCCCGTATTTTCAAACCTATCAAAATATGACAACCTGGCAATTGTTGGACTGGAAATTACATATGATAACTAGGTTTACATTTAAGTCTAGTGTATTAAAGAGTAAGACATATTTAATATAAAAAATAAAATTGTGCATCAAACACAATTATTACATCATGTTTACTGTAATAGAAGCTATTATCTCATATTTTTTTTTATTTTTTAAAGATTTTATTTATTTATTTGAGAGAGAGAGAATGAGAGACAGAGAGCACAAGAGGGAAGAGGGTCAGAGGGAGAAGCAGACCCCCCGCTGAGCGGGGAGCCTGATGCGGGACTCTATCCCGGGACTCCAGGACCATGACCTGAGCCGAAGGCAGTCGCTCAACCAACTGAGCCACCCAGGCGTCCTTATCTCCTATTTTTAATAAGATCCCTAGATCAAACTGGAAAAATACAGGAACCAGACTTACGTAACAAAATCAGTGCTAGCATCTAACAAAACATAAATTGTCACATCATGACCACTGTTTCCATGGTAGCCACCTAGTATATCACAAAGATTAGATTATAATACCCTTGAAAAAAAAAAACAAAAAATAAGATTCAAGTGAGGAGTCTAAAAATAAATTCAAGTCATCTATAAAACATTTTCTTAACAAGCTGATATGGTTTTAGTAATTAAATGATTTTAGTAATCAAATTCTTCACCTCGAAAATACTGATATCACTGAAAATACCAGCGAATCCCAAAATAACAATTCCCTACGTGTTCCATAATATTGCTTGGTGAATAAAATATTTTCAAAATAGTACCTTTATAAAATAATTATCAATAAAAAAAAATCCATGACCATGAGTTGATTTTCTTCAACAAATGTATCATGAACAAATTAGAAAGGTCAGGAATTACAAATGCTTGGGGCGCCTGGGTGGCTCAGTCGTTAAGCATCTGCCTTCGGCTCAGGTCATGATCCCAGGGTCCTGGGATCGAGCCCCGCGTCAGGCTCCCTGATCAGCGGGGAGCCTGCTTCTCCCTCTCCCACTCCCCCTGCTTGTGTTCCCTCTCTCACTGTGTTTCTCTCTGTCAAATAAATAAATAAAATCTTAAAAAAAAAAAAAGACCACGTTTTTCATGCACTTTATCAGTATGTGACAGTAAAGACAATAGCCTGAGGGAAGCTGATTTATTCATTAGGACTTTTACATTGTTACTATATGCTCTAAATCAGAGCTGCTTTGGAAATGTATCTGAATTTTAAAGCTTCCTGGCTGATTTTGGAGTACAACCAGGTTGGGAAATCACTGATCTAAAATCTGTCCAAATTGGGCGCCTGGGTGCCTCAGATGGTTAAGCGTCTGCCTTCGGCTCAGGTCATGATCCCGGGGTCCTGGGATCGAGTTCCGCATTGGGCTCTCTGCTCCTTGGGAGCCTGCTTCTCCCTCTGCTTCTCTCTCTCTCTCTCTCTCCTCTCTCTCTCTCCTCCTCTGTCTCTCATGAATAAATAAATAAAATCTTTAAAAAAAAATAAAAAAAAATTAAATCTGTCCAAATTAAAATTTTATCAGTTTAAAAATGATTGATAATCTCAGTAAATAAATATACATTAAAAACAATTATGACTATTTTACGCAACTTGTTAATAAATATTAAAAAATATAGCAACCAATACTATCACCATGTTAAGAAGGAGCTGGGAAAAGAGCACTCTCCTATGCTGCTGCTGATCATCTTCGTTATCATCTTTCGAGAGAACTGTTAGCATTTTTATATATTACAAGCCTTTTGAAGATACAGGCTATGCTCTGACTCAGCAATTCCACTACTATGATTCCATTCATTCTAAGAAAATAATTACAAGTGTTAAACGATTGTGCAGTATTGCTTGTTATCACATAAAACTGAAAACAACATGACATAAAATTTAATTTAAAAAATAAAACTGTGTATCAAACACAATTGTTGGGCAAATAATTATGGGATTGTACATCCATATAGTGGAATACTACTACTGTGAAGTCATTAAAAATGGTACTATGAAAAAATTGTGCTGTGAGAGAATTATTATTATTATTGTTTAATGGGGCCCCTGGGTGGCTCTGTAGGTTAAGCATCTGACTCTTGGTTTTGGCTCAGGTCATGATCTTGGGGTCCTGGAACTGAGCCCTGGGTAGGGCTCCCTGCTCAGTGGGGAGTCTGCTTGTCTCCCTCTCTCTCTGCCCCTACCCCACTTTGTGCTCTCTCTCTCTAAAATAAATAAATCTTGGGGTGCCTGGGTGGCTCAGCCGGTTAAGCGTCTGCCTTCACCTCGGGTCATGATCCCAGGGTCCTGGGATTGAGCCCCACATCGGGCTCCCTGCTCAGCCGGGGAGCCTGCTTCTCCCTCCGCTCCTCTCCCTGCTTGTGCTCTCTCTCTCTCTCAAATAAATAAAATCTTAAAAAATAAATAAATAAAATAAATAAATCTTAAAAAAACAAAAACAAAAAACATACACTTGAGTTTAACACTTTTTCAATTTCAAAAGCAGTCCTAAAAGGCTCAGAACTCATCTAGATTTGGAGTTAATTGCCCAAAGTACGTTATGTATATTTTATTTTTAAACAATCTCTACACCCAACATGGGGCTTTAATTTACAACCCCAAGATTATGAGTCACATGCTCCACCAAATAAACCAGCAAGGCACTCCTTACTATTTACATATCTTTTAAATGAATATGTGCTCTGTGCTATGTTAGGAATCATAGGAAATACGTTGCTTTTGGGTAACACTAATGATAATCTTTTGGAAAAAAATAAATGAAAAAATATAATACTCCTTTAAGAAAGTGTCAGAATCCTTAAGTATGATTTTTGTTACATTTTGGGGATTTTTCTATAAGAATGTTTTTTAGAAATTAGTACTGATGGGAAATGGTTCAGGTACTAATATTCATTTTAAAATATATCAGCCTTAAAATTAATCTATATCCTGGCAGTTTTGTTTTTTTTTTAAGATTTTATTTATTTATCTGACAAGAGAGACAGCAAGAGAGGGAACACAAGCAGGGGGAGTGGGAGAGGGAGAAGCAGGCTTCCCACTGAGGGAGCCCGATGTGGGGCTCGATCCCAGGACCCTGGGATCATGACCTGAGCCGAAGGCAGACGCTTAATGACTGAGCCACCCAGGCACCCCTCCTGGCACAGTTTTTAGAAAAATTGAACTTTTCAGCAAAGTAAATCAAAAGCACTGTGCTGTGATAAAATAGAAACTCAGCAAGTTGCTTACTAAATTGATATTACCATCTACCAAAAAAGTTTACTCTTTCTTCCACAAAAACAAAAACTCAGGACTTCAAGACAAACAAACATGTCATGAATTTATGCCATCCTGAAGTCATCCTAAATTTACTCTCAGCCCTTCTTCTGCTACAACCAATGTTGATTCTGAAATACATGGATTCTTAGCCACATGAATGGCAGTTTGATTTTTTTATACACGAATATACTTAGATGGCCTGAATCATGAACCAAGGAATTTGATCCACAATTTCTTTAAAAAAGGTTGAAATGACATACTTTAAAGACAAAGACAGGGGCGCCTGGGTGGCTCAGTTGGTTAGGTGTCTGTCTTCGGCTCAGGTCCTGATCCCAGGGTCCTGGGACCCGCATCAGGCTCCCTGCTCAGCGAGAGTCTGCTTCTCCCTCTTCTCCTCCCCCTGCTCATGCTCTCTCCCACTTGTGCTCTCTCTCTTCTCTCTCTCTCAAATAAAATCTTTAAAAAAAAATAAAAAAAAATTATTTATTCATGAAAGAGAGAGAGAGAGAGAGAGAGGCAGAGGGAGAAGCAGGCTCCCAAGGAGCAGGGAGTCCGACGCGGGACTTGATCCCAGGGTCCTGGGATCATGACCTGAGCCGAAGGCAGACGCTTAACCATCTGAGCCAAAAAAAAAGACAAATAAATCTCAAAGTAACCTCTGCATCAGCAAAAGTTAGTCAGAACAAAATTAAATTTAGCAGTGGCCTAGGGCATCTTTTCTAGGAACTGCCTCTGCCCCACCCACAGCCCCTTCAGCCACACTTCATTGATCATAATCCCTGCTGATTTGATCAGTGTTTAGCCAGGAATTTTAGAATGGTACCTGAGGGTGTCTACCCCTCCCTCCCGCTCTCTCTCTGGTGGTGGAAGCAATAAGATGCAAAATTCATAAACATCTTCTACTTCATGGAGAAAGCTAGTCTGCGAGAAATACAGAGCCAAGAGAAGCAAAGAGTAGTGACTGAATCCTGATGGCATTGAGTCCTTGATCCTTGATGTTCCTATCCCCAAATTCTTCATTTTGCTTAAAGTTTTTCTAGTTTTGTGTCTGTCACTTGCAATTAAAAGAATCTTAACTGGGGCACCTGGGTGGCTCAGATGGTTAAGCATCTGCCTTCGGCTCAGGTCATGATCTCCTGGTCCTGGGATCAAGCCCCCCATCCGGCTCTGCTTGGTGGGGAATCTGCTTCTCCCTCTGCCTCTCCCCCTGCTCATGCTCACTCTCTCTCTCAAATGAATAAAAATAAAATCTTTAAAAAATAAAAGAATCTTAACATAATCAGGCATCTCTCACTTTACAGAATTGAAAAGCTAGCTATTTATTTCCTGACTAAATGATGTAAGATAAACCAGTTAACCTTTCTCTTTAGACTTTGGTTCCTGGTCTACAAACAGGGCAATAATGATCCTTGTCCTTAGGCCCCACAGAGCTCTTCTATGGATCTAATGAGAGTGTACATGCAAACACCTGGTAAATCATAAAGAGCGATTTAAACAATATCATTGGGGGCGCCTGGGTGGCTCAGTTGGTTAAGCGACTGCCTTCGGCTCAGGTCATGATCCTGGAGTCCCGGGATTGAGTCCCACATCGGGCTCCCTGCTCAGCAGGGAGTCTGCTTCTCCCTCCGACCCTCCCCCCTCTCATGTGCTCTCTCATTCTCGTTCTCTCAAATAAATAAAATCTTTAAAAAAAATAAAAAATATCATTGGTAATTTTTGTTAGTCGTTGAACTGTGATTTCAAAAGGGTAGCTTTAAAATTTCAATATGATTTAAGCATTCATGAACTTATTCAATAGATTTATGTGATTCCTCTGAAGTTGCTTTCAATTCGTCACAGTTAAAACACACAATAATGAATTCTAAAAGAATTTTACAAAAACAGAACCCAGGTGTACAGTGGGAAGGTATACCAAATGTTTACCATTTTAAAAGTACATCTGTGTAAAGAAAAAGAAAATAACACTGTTCAAGTATTCCACGTGTGAAAAAAAAAACACAGTATATATATATATATGTTAGAGCCTCAAAAAACACTTTTTATTAGAGAGGATTTAGAAATACATTCTGATTTTCATCCAATGAAGTAAATTTTTTGAAGCTGTAAAAGGACCTCATTGTCCCTAAGTAGCATCATATTGAAGGTTCAGTGTTTTGTAGGTTTGAAACATTTTAAAAGGACAAAGAAAAAAAGAAGAAAGGAAATATATTAATTAGAAAACTAAGAAAAGTAATGTCTTTGAAACACTACTTAACAATTTTGTTACTGTTCCTTGTCCACAAGGAAGGAACTTCAAAACTTAAGTTTTTAAATCTCAGAAGGAGTTCTGGAAGTAAAAAAGTTAACTGAGAAGATAATTAAGAATTCTAAAATCCCCAGCAGAAGCAGCTCACCTCAAACTGAGTCACATCTCTGTAAGAAGGAAAGCTTTTAACTACCAGGTGCATTAACTTCTGTGCACTTTTTTCACTTTTTCGAACGCAATTAAGAAAAGAGCCTTCGAACTTCTCAAGCATAATTTTCCCGGTTTCATTAAGAATCCGATGCCTCTCTTCGATCAAAGGCATGGGAACGTCCGTGTCAGAACGCAATACATGCTGAACCTGATCCAGGGTCACTGTGGCATAGTAGGAAGCACTGGTAATAGGTATCCCTTAGGGAAAAAAGAAAATGCAGAGGAACAACGTCATACTTTTACATTCATCAGACCCTTGCTTTTACAACATACAATAATAAGAAAGCAAATGAGTGTTACAGAAATGCACTAAAAACGGGTGAATTAAATCAGAAGCATACCCTTCATTTTCTATTTTCTCATCTGTACTTACTCATCCGTTTCTAGCAATTGTTATACTACACCAGATGTATTTTGACTGCATAAAATGTGTTATATCTGTACCTTTGTTCTTCAGATGTCATCAAAGTGGCGTTCTTTAGAAAACTTGTATACTTAGCTATGATGATAAACATTAGGATCATTTCTCACTAAGGACTTAACGCCAGCTTCTTCTCACACTTGTATTTTAAGCAGATAAGAACTGCAATGAAGAACTTGAAAGTTCGCCTTATGAACACATACGCCATTTCCCGATTCGTTCCTCGGGACCCTTCCGGTAAACTGAAACCTCACAGGCCGTTTGTTGGGTCTGACCCGGAGAAGAGGCACCAACCTTCGTCGAGGGCTCTGTTGACCGCGGCGCACAGGGACCAGTACCCACTGTACGTCTTCCCTCTGTACCCCACCAGACATTTGCGCTCGTCGCGCTCCGACCAGAAGGAGAAGTTGAGCGTATCTGTCACGAACACCCAGTTGACCGCGGCCTCGTCAGCCGCCCTGGGATTCAGCTCGTGAAGGGCCTTCCAGCCCCCCAGGTGCAGCTCGGGCCCCGAGACCTTGGCGAGCAGCAGCTCAGCCACCCTCCGCACGCCTCCGCCGTCGATGAACACATCCCGACTATTCTCTGCAATGAATTTTGCGGACTCCCTGGGAGTTAGGGGCCCGTCCATCCCGCCCTTTCCTTTGGGACTGGTGAAGGCGCTTTCACCCACGGGCTGGCCAAACTCGCTTTCCTCCCTGAGCGGGGAAAGGGTGCAGGTCCCTCAGCACCAGTCCCTCCCTACCCACTGTGGGATCGCTAACCTCAGAGGGCCCCGCCCTTCCGGAGCGGCTCTGAAAGCCAACAGCGCGGCCGATATCCGGGCTCCCTCCCTCCACCGCGCACTGCGGCGGAGCCGTGGACGCCGCGGGGCCGCGCGCCCGGCCAAGACCCGAGGCACTTCCGGGAGAGAGGCCCCGCCCACTCTCGCCCGGGCGCGCGCCTGGGACCCGTTTCCGGTTCCGAAGGTCCGGAAACTGGCCGGAGGGTCCGGCGCCCGCCGGTCTGCAGTTGCGCTCCCTCCCGCCCAGGCGTGGGGCTCCGCCATTTTGTGCACGTTTCCAACCTCCCTTAGGGCACGTGGTACTGCGGCTCGCCGCCGTGGCCCGAGTCGCGATGACGGCAAGCGGTGTACGGCGTTGCCCTCCCTCGCTCCCGCCCCTCCCCTCTACCCAGTGGGCGAAGTGTGGGCAAGATGCCCTCGGCGACGCTCCGTATCCGGGTTCCGGGGCCGCGACGAACCTGGTGGCGCCCATTCCGGTGCGGGGGGTTGGGGGGCGGGGGGCTAAATCGCCCCCAGGCTGTGACACGGATTGGCGGGTCCCCCACAACCCCATCTCCCAGGCAGGCCTCTTGTGCTAAATTACTGTCGCATTCGGAGGCCGTATGGACGTTTAAGATTAGCTGAGACGTTTGGAGAAATGGGTGAGGAAACAAATGTATTGTTAAAATTAACATTGTGTGCCTGTAATTGTGCTTTCGTACTGAATCCCTGTTGTCCTGGGCCGTGGCAACAGTGGCGGTTGTACTCCTCGTTTTGCAAACGAAGCTGTGTGGTGCAGCGGTGAGCCCCTGGTCACAGCAGTGGTCTGGGTTGGGATTCAGACCCTTAAGTCTGGGGCACTTTCTATGAACCAAACCACCAATGCCAACCATTCCGGCCAAGTAGTGACTGTATTAGTGGCCCTAATGAGACATTATTAGAGGAAGTAAGTATCACCTTACAGCCCCAAACTTTTTTTAAAAATATTTTTTAGGGCGCCTGGGTGGCTCAGTTGGTTAAGCGACTGCCTTCGGCTCAGGTCATGATCCTAGAGTCCCGGGATCGAGTCCCGCATCGGGCTCCCTGCTCAGCAGGGAGTCTGCTTCTCCCTCTGATCCAACCCCCTCTCATGCTCGCTCTCTCTCTCTCAAATAAATAAAATCTTTAAAAAAATAAAAAAATATTTTTTAATGGGTTGAGGAGAGGTACCCTAGTCAATTAGTGATGATCCAAATTTGCTTATTGATGAAATTTTAGTACAGAGGTAATGTATTTGTGCTCTCCTTCAGACTTAAATCTCCATGGATAATATGAAATGTTCATGCCTTTTTGAAAATCAACTATTAAAAATAACAGTAGTCATCTCTAGTTATTGACAGTAAAAAACCTTGGAATTAGAGAATTTTTGGAGGATTTAGAATTTTCAAGTTTGACAACTGTGCCCCCAGAGAAGCAGAATATCTTCATCTCTGCAGTTTCTTCATTTTGGTAAGAAAAAGAAACTTTTAAGGATTTCATTATGATTTGCTTTTACAGTAGAAGTCACTAGTACATTAATATGTTGTTGAATAACTGTAAATCTGTTGACTTGGGATTTTTTTGTCTACCCCAGCAGCTCTAAGTCTTTGGAGTCAAATTGATTAGCAAAAGGGGCGCCTGGGAGACTCAGTTGGTTAAGCGTCTGCCTTTGGCTCAGGTCGTGATCTCAGGGTCCTGGGATCTCGAGCCCCCCATGGGGCTCCCTGCTCAGCAGGAGGTCTGCTTCTCCCTTGCCCTCTGCCCTTCTGCACTGTGTCCCCCCACCCCACTCGTGCTCGCTCGCTCTCTCGCGCTCTCCTCTCAAATAAATAAAATCTTTTAAAAAATTGGTTAGCAAGAAAATCTGGCAATCTACAAAAGAATTCAGGAGGTTATATAATTTAGCCCATTTTCTCTCACCGAGACTTATTGACAGAAATGAAAAACCAACAACTTAGATTCCTACTATGTTCAGGATACTGAGTTAGACACTAGGAGTAGTATGAATAAGGAAATAAGCTTCCTTCTCTCAACTTATTGTTGAGATAAAGCATAAATTTTGTGTGGTAGGTGGGTTTATTTTTTAAAATGTGTACAAGCTGTTAGGAATACAAAAAGGGAGTTCTTTACCTACTCAATATACTTTCCCTCCTTCCTTCCTTCCCGACAGAATCCTGAGGTTGTTCTGGAATCCCTCTTATCCACAACTGGTGTAGCTCAGGATCCTGATCTCCAAGAGTGGTCTGGACCGGTCTAAGGGTAATATCACCCTCTTGCAAAGGACTGGGTTAGGATCATGTATGTTCCCTAGTTCACCTCATTGAGTTGCAAAGATAGGTTTGTAGGATGCTTCCAGAAAAGCTTTTCCAGGAGGACTTCCAGAAGAGATTCACACTCCCTCTGGACATGATTGAGCTTGGATATGAGGTGTGAAATTGTTACCATCCTTTTGATGGCAACCTGTGTATGAGGTCAACACATGGGAGAGGCCAAAAGAATAGCTGAGAAATGGAGCTGGAGTAATGGGATTATGTCTGTCTGTCTTAAGTCTGTCCCACTTTTGGATCTCATTATGTGAGTTAATAAACTTCCTTATAGTTTAAAGCAATTTTGAGTTGGGTTTTCTGTAACTTGCTATGAAAGTTTTCTATCTTGCACAGGTGGCAGATACAGACATGGTCTCTGACATCTTATGATTAGTGAGGAAGGCAGATAGTCAAATGGGTAGTATTATACTTCAAGCAACAGAAAACTAGATTACAGTGACTAATACAAAGGGGATTGTTTTTCTCATATAATAAACCCATAGCAGATGTACCTGTTTGAGAATGTCAGCAAGGAACTAGGCTCCTTGCTTTCTGTGTGACTAGGGATACCTAGTATATGACTTTTTTCTTTATGGTTGTAGGATGACTCTACCCTTACGGACATTGTGTGCGCAGAAAGATGAAAATAAAAGGGGCAAAGAGCCAAAGGAACATGGCTGCTGAGTTTTTTTCTTTTGAAAATCTTTGCCAGAGGCTCTACCCTGCAGGCATAGGCTTTTGAAAAGATCAAGATGACCTCTAAATAGTCCCTAAACTTGTATTTTCAGGGTTAACAAAGGGAGGAGGCATGATAAATGATGTGTCCCTATCACCTTTCCCCCTCCTACACAGTATCCAAAGTAGATTATTCCAGTCATCAAGAAAGCCATCATTCTGAATAGCTAAATTAAATGTCAAGCATTGGCAACGATCACTGCTACATCTGCTATTTTCTGTCATGATAGGCTATGGCAGAAACTTAAAGAAATAGTGGGTTAAGAGGTATTGTTGAGGAACAGTTGCAAAAGTTGGCAAGAGCAATGGATGGACAGTAGACATTGCTAGAGAGGAGGCTGTCATTCTTCATATATGCGGAAGGAGGAAAGCAGAGAAGTAAAATGGATTTTTGACGCTAGGACATTTCAATTATTTTCATTTCCCCCCAGACTCTCCTAAAGTGATCAATACACTAAAGCCCCAAGGAGTCTTAGCAGAAAAGAGATATGGTTCGCTATTGTGTAGTAATTTTCCTCTGTTCCTTTTCTCCTTGATTTATCCATTTATAGCATTTAAAATTGACTACTTCCTTGAAATTCATTCTTGTCTTTTGGGCCATTATATTACCCTGGTTTTCTTAGTACCATTGGAAGCTCTTCTCTTCCTACTCTCTTCTTATTGTGTGTAAAATGTTCCATCTACGGGCTTTGGCTTACGGACAGAATGGACTCTTTTGGTGAAAACTCTGACTCTTAAATAATTTCAGTTTTAAAATATTTAGTTATAATGGAATAAATATATTATCTCCATTATATAGCATTAACATTACTACAGTTCAAAATCAATTAGAATTTTTGAACCGTAGTTTGCCTTTAACTAGTGAAATTAATATTTCCCACTTAGGAGAAAGAACTAAATAAATATCATAAAAAACAGTGCAGAGCTTCCAGTTTGGTGAACCCTTAGAGATTTGGGGAGAATGACGTGCTCAGAGAGTATGGAAGCTCCGTGCCCCTTCCCAGGTAACTTGCCCTATACATCTATCTGGTTGTTCCTGAGTTATATCCTTTTATAATAAACCAGTAATCTGCTTGTTTTCCTTGCTATCTAAAAAACACAACAGAGTTGTGGAACGAGCTACACAGTCCTTGAGAGGTTTTCTGAGTTCCATTAGTGTTCCTTTATAGGTTATGCATTTAAGTAAATGTCACTGAAGAGGTGATTTGAACGATGTTGAAAATCATCAGTTCCTGCCTGACAGATTCTCTTCCCCACAATCCAGACTTGGTGCATGCACTGCTTTACAAATGAGATCTCTTTGAACAATCTTGAACTTAACCACTTCAGGATATAATGCAAAATACTGATCTGGTAACCACCTTCTTTTGCTCAAGGTTGCTAGAAGCTGAAGCTGAGCTATTAGTGGAATGGATCCTGGAAATTATCAAGCAAGGAGTTGTTGCACAAACAGGCTGAAGAAATTTCCAGAACTGAAATTCAACTATGTAGAAGAGGGGCAGCAGGCCTTCCAGTTATTGTACTTCTGGGAAACAGAAGTAGACAGATTGCCCGGTGTATCTTCTATTAAAGAGGATCACACAAGTGTACTTCCCTTGCACACTTTGGAGAATTGGTGCCAGTTGGCAATAGATCACTCAGCTAGACTGTAGTGCAAAAAGTGAGGGAGGGGGACACAACAATCATAAATGTAAAAACCTGCTTTTAAAAAAAGTACAGGGGTGTCTGACTGGCTCAGTCAGTAGAGCACATGACTCTTGATCTCAGGGTTGTGAGTTCAAGCTCCACGTTGGGTGTAGAGATTACTTT